ATCTTGAACTGTGCGCTTATAAAAGTATGTTTTGCGTTTTGTTTTTAAGATTCTTGATTAAGATATCATTACTTTACTATCATAGTTAAACGTTACACCGCAATGATGAGTATAAACTTGAATAATTTTTGTTTACAAAGCGGTTGCATAGCCGTCATGTCATCTTGTAAACGAAAAACGAAAAGAAACAATTTGACCGAGGCGATATGTCATCTGCCGGTGAATATCACATCATATCCAATGGCACTATACAATGATTATATAATTTACATTGCATCAAAGCTTACGGAACGTCGGTGGTGCTAGGCAGATGCCCGTTCGTGTCTTAAAGTATTCAAGGAATGTTAGCTGAGGTATTTCTCCACTAGCAAAATTAGATAGAAACAATATGACCTATTCAATGGTGGAGCGACTAAAAACCCAACCATAAAAAGATTTTACAAAAATCAGCAATAAAACAGTAACTTGAAAGAAAAGAATACAAATGTATATGTATGTATCAGTAAAATATGAAGTGGCGCATAATTTAAATGATTTATTTGTCGTTGTTCGTTTGTTTGTTTGTTTGTTTGTTTGTGTGTTTGTTTCTTGTTTCTTTTGGTTTTTAAATTAAAAATATGTCCTGCTAATTTCCTTGTTTCTTTAATTTTTTAAATGAAACCTGTATTCCAAGAAGTCAAACAACGAGGAGGGATCCGCTTAAACGGAATATATGTAAGTGCATTCAAATGCGACGAACAAATTTGAGATTTTATTTCTTTTCTAGTAACATTTTATCTGACATTGCTTTCATTCTATCAACTTATCTGCCCACGTATATCATTTTGCTAAAAGAATAAACACTCTCACGCTGATAACAATATACGTATAATGAAAGACAGTATTTACGATTTACAACAATGGACCTGTGTCGCCATGCAACGCAAGAAAAAATATGTTGTTTATGTATAGCTTGTGAAAGGTAAGTGTGCAAGTGCGTATTAAATATGATTCGACTTTTCAAATTCCTCTCAAAGTCCTTCACTTTAGGTTTTATAGATAAGATCGAAACACGTGTAAAGGTGACAATATATGCCAAGGAACGGTTGTATTCTATTTTAGTTATGAAAAGCTTTGGGCTTAACAGGTGACTGAGTTAAATGACCGTTAGGAACTAGCTTGCTTAGCATAAACCTTTTTTTAGTTTTGCGAAAAAGGAAATGCGTTTGCCTTTGTTTTTGACATATATGTTCCGTTAATTATTGTTATGATGTATATTTTCATAGTTTTAATCAAAAAGGTAATTCAATTGTGTGTATTCAATTACGTAACATTGTACAAGGCCCAAGCATTTATACTGAAATTGTGTTTTGTTTGGAGATGATGTATCAGTAGAAATGTATGAATTTGTTCAAATAAATCATCAAAACGTCGCAGCTATGTTTGAGAGTTGTTCGTTTATTCCCCTATAATATTTGTTTACCCGATCTTGACTAAAATCTGTTTAGAAATAATAAAAAAAGGTAAATATAAACAATATTCCCAAACAAATTTTATTGTGTTTGATAACAACATAATAATGTTCTCATATCTCTGTGAAAATATGTTGCATTTAAATCAATACAATGTTCTCATACGTTTACATCACATCAATTAAAATGTAAAAATGTTTATGCCAGGAGAAGAAATTTCTAGTTTACTTCTAAAAAAATGATTTGGAAAAAACTCTGAGAATCTATACTACTTGTTGTCGCAATATTATTTAGTACCCGAATGATTTGTACAATTAAACGATAAACCAATCCTTTGTGTCTTGGTTATTCCAAAACATGCTATTTAATACTACATTATTTCACAATTTATCACCAGGTGATTCCGCCATTAGTGTCACAAAAAGTTGCAAATTCATGAACTTAAAATAACAGCAATAATTGAGGATGGCGTTTTTATTTTTATTTCATTTATATTTTATAAATCAATGATGGCTATACACTAGGTAGACTGACAGGTGTTAACATGGTTTTGACGCTAATTTTTCTGTAGAAATGTACATGCAAAAATACATCAAATCTTTTACTGAAAGGTGTTCGTGTATTTATTCTTGATATTTATTTAACTTATATTTAATGAATAACGATTTGCAAATAATAATAAAAATAAAGTATATATAAACAATATCCAACAAATCTGTACATTATGTTCGGTTACCACATAATAGTGTTTTCATTTTTCTATGAAGAAAGGTCGATATTAAATGAAGAGAGTGTTCCCTACAGCATTAAAACCATGTAAATATGTAAATAGCAGAAGAAATAAAGATGTGCTTTTCTTCCTGAACTATGAGTTGTGTCAATGAGGTAGACATGACTGTTTATCAGTTAGTTATCTTGACTCATAATGTTATAATATCCTTAATAATATGGCTTTCATTTGAAGTTCCTCTTATTGTAAAACTGGTAAATGTATATAATTGCATATATGCAAATACAGCTCATATTTCCAGTAGTGTGCGTTTTAAAATAATATTGTTCCAAGCATTATCCAAAAGGCGAAATCGGTACTAAACTGGCATATGATCTCGTGTGTATATAAAGTTTCTAGGGATATGATATCAATAGCAGGACAAATAAAAGCATTTGATATGGATTTGTCTGCATATTTTAGGTACCTTACGGATTGTCAGTTAAACTATATTGAAATAATAACGATTTTTTGTGTGTTTACTCTAAAAGCTTTTAAGGATTTAAAGAAATCCATAGCTGAATCAAATAGAAATTGGATTTATAGCTTTTTAAATACATTATGGTTTGTTACCGAAAATATGCGTATAATTTTATTTCTCCGTGTCTTATTTAGACCGACTAAAAATAATGTGTTGAAAACATTTTTCTTTGGTTTATCAATTCAAACCCTATTTTATTTGACCCCCTATACAAAATTTATAATATATCATCAATTTGATTCTTTTTCTGCTTTACCCTTTTAATCAGAAAGCCCTACGCCAATAGAAAAGACAATGAAACGATGAATATCTGCTATCATAATGTATATATGTTGGAAACAATTTTAGTACATATAGTATAAAAAGAAATATGGATATTTTAAGTGTAGCTGTAACATTATTCGTGTCGTCTAATGACATCACATGTGATATGTTTTCAAAAATTGATACATCGTCGTTTAATGATCAGTATTTACATGTACAATAAGCATAATTAGACAACTTTAACAACATTACCTTAATCAATATCCGTTCAAAATCTATATAATAAAACATGCATTCGTTTTCACATAAAACACGAATTTGTCAGTTTAAATCGCTTTAAATATGCCGCTTAATAGCTTTCAGTTGCACCCTTTCAACATTAATTATTAATGATTCGTGTGTAAATCGGTTTTGAAACAGACACTTGCAGCGGAAAAACTGTCTCTTTAATTAGCTGATATGTAACGACGAAACCAAATCTGTTGTTAATTTCCAATGTAATTCGTCGTGAAATCTAAAACTATCATCAATCGGCACTATTCCAATCCTTTTTTGTTAGATTTATGGGTTTGCTTTTAAAAAAAACATGTTACTGAAACGGAGCTTGCATAAGCGGCTTGTTTAAAATTGATGAGACATTGTTAAGTAATCAACTAGTCTGGATAACAGATTAATTAAATATTTATTGACATAGCACAATAGGCTTCATAAACAAAAGAATGACGTGCGTTAAAAGAACAAAAGAAAATATCTTCTATACAAACTACATTACATAAAATTTGCAAATCGTCATAAAGCCCCATCTCACGATGAGGACTTTTGTCTCCAGGTTAATAGGTACATACTACATTAATAAACTTTGTCTAATAGACGTAAGGAGATAAGTACAGGTCATATGAAGAGAAAAACCTTTAAATATGTTAACAAACTCATTGAAAAGATCGTCAACCTACCTTTTGCGTTCTTTAATGTAATACGACAAGCAATTTCAATGGCACTTCTTGTTGTTACGACGACACTTTTTGATGTCGTTATCATATGATATATGAGTATGACTAAAACCATTCAATGTTTTGTTTTGTAAAAGCCATAAGACAGCAATATCAGAACACTTGCGTAAACAACTACAGCGCGTATTTCCTTGTATATACGACATTTGCATCTGTAAGTGTAAGAGAAATTCAGAAACCCTAAATGATCTTTCCTTGTATATATTAAGTGAAAACTGTTACTTATACATGAATATTGAATTTCATATGTTTGAAACATAAGATTCTCATTTATTATGCTTGATTTATAAAATGACATAAGAAAACAAATGGTTTTATGAACATAATATGTTCTTGAATAAACTGATTATGCATGATACTTTTGCACCATGTCAGTGATGCCTAGAAAACAAAATACAATTTGTTTAAAATTATGTATTACTCCATATAAATGGAAAATGTAGCTTTGCTTACAAACGATTGAACATTTACATTTTCACTTTTATTGCTTCATTCCTTAATATGTTATACAGTTGGAGTAATGCGGTATTTGAAGTTACACTGGGGGCGAAAAACATCAACTGAATAATCTGACTGATCTAAGTCCGCAGCTGTTTCAGTTTTTATTTGTCCCAGTCGATTACTCTGTCACTTGAAGCTATCAGTGCTCTTTTTTACCATCCTGTATATTATTTGCATTCAAAATAAGGCCATTCGTAGATTGACGATTTAAATTGTAACGGACAAGAGTAAATTCTTTACACCTTTAACACGGATTTATTCTCTTTAACATTTTATAATAATCGTCATTCATTACTATAACAAAGAAAAAACCAACAACCATTCGATCAAATCGCCTCATAATAACGTATCGTTTTCATTTTTAATTATCATGGAAAGTGTAATGAAAGAAATAGAGCAACATCTGTCGGGATGAGACGGAATGTTAAAACACAGTTGTACTGTATATATATATAATGACTCAAAGATATTAAACAACAAAAAATTACGTAAAATGTAATCGAGTGAATTTGAAAACTTGTATGTGCTCATTAAAAGTTCCTCTTATTGTAGTACTCGAAAAAAATACATTGTGATATGCAAATATTTCCAATAGTATGGCTGATTATTCAGTGGTTAAAAATATATGTTTCAAGAATATTCAAAAGGTGAAATTGGTGTCAAATTTGCATAAGATCTCGTGTTGTATAAAGTATATCTCGGGATATGATATCAGATAGTAGGGCAAATAAAGGCATTTTATTCCGATCTGTCTGCACATTTTAAAAGATAGATTACGGATTGCCTGTAAAACTATAATTGAAACTAAAATAGAAAGTTTTTGTGTTTACCCTAAAAGCTTTTGAGGGCTTAAAGAAATCCAAAGCTGAATAAAAAGGTCAGATGGATGACTTGAAATTCAATACATGATAGTTTGTATTCCAAATATAAGGATTTTTTGTAGACTGAATAAAATAGTTGTTTTTGTCAATATTTTGCTTTATGAATTCGAACCTTCATTATTTGACCAAGATGTAAAATAAAATGTAAAATTATCATTAATTCAAATTAACTATTTGATAAACTCTTTAAATTAAAATATCCTGCTTCAAAGAAAGAGATCACAAATAACTGTTTTGGAATGGGTGATTTATTTCATTAAATATCTACTTAAACAGTCATAGCAAAGGGGGAATGTCACAAAATCATAAATTACAATACTTGTAAACAACATATAAAAAGAAAATATTCAAACCGTAACAAATAACAAAATATACGTTTTAATATGACATTAAATATGTTTTGTATTTCCACCACATTTATTGAAACGTATGATTATTATATATTTAATAATCTAATTACTGTTAAATATATTTCGGTATTATCTTTTTTATACATTTAACTCTAAAAACAAAATTGTTAATCACAGTAAAATGAATATCTTTACAAGAAGTAGTTTAGGTATATCACACGCCGTCATCTTCGTCAATTGTTCCCTTTAAGCTATTTCTATGATACTCGTGTAACGGAATTATGTGCGGTTTTCTCGTGCTTGGTGCATTGTCCGTGCTTTTAGTGCCTGAATCGTGTTCGTCTTGGGATGCAGTCTTTGACCGCTCAAACGTGGACGTTTTATTTAATGGGTTTGTAAAGTAACTGTCGGTGGAGTACATCCGGCCATATTTTGACCTATCTGCATCGTCTTTGATGCTATTTTGTCTACTACTACAACTAAGAGACGATTCATCAAAACTTTCATACTGCAGTTCTCCATTTTCACGCCTTAAGAATTCTGATGAAAGAAGTTCTGAGTTCCTGAGAGAGTGGATAAAACTGGAGTCTAAGCAATGAAGGTTGTTATCCGGGTTGTGCATGTATGGGTTACAATATCCAGTTTGTGCGTTGCATCCTGGGTAACTATATTCTGTCTGATTACCGTATGAATATGAAGGGTTGTCTGACAGGCTGCTGTCAGATTGTGTGAGACCAGTTGTAACAACGTGATTAGACGATAAATGTTCGTGTGACTCTGCATCTTCTGCTTCTTCAAAAATAGGATTCTGAATTTCAATTCCGTAGTCATCTACGTCAAAGTAGTCTACAGAAAACTGCTTTCGAGGAATGCTGCATGCACGACTTGGAGTGACATTTTCCTCATTTTTTCTTACATTTTCGGTGTTATTGTCTGAATTTGATAAGTCATTTGAAGTTGGTTCTTTCGAGTTAGTATCATCAGGATCCGCTATTGTTTTTGTGTTATTTAGGCTTGGGTTGATTAATGCATTTTCCTCATCATTCGTTTTATTCACTGTTGCTGTTATCTGATTTTCGTCCGCGATATCATTGTCACCTACTCTACTTTCTATACGATTATGTAAATCAATATCGGAGTCACCCCCGGGTTCAAAGACTTCCTTTCTTTCTGGTGTTGTAATGATTTCTTCTTCTGATGTACCTTCGATATTTTGTATTGTGTCGTTACTAAGGTTCATATGCTCGTCCTCGACATTGACTTTGTCATCAGTTTCCAAACCGATATCGATGGAACTTCCGGAATCTGGGGACTTGCGTAGTAGAGGGTCGTCCTCCGACCCGAATTCAGATCCGGAAGTATTATCGTTCTGCTGAAATAAGAGCAATTTAGCATGATTACACAACAAGTATCATCAAATATCATCATTATGATTGAAGACCTGCAATAAGATAAAACCTCTTCGACGAAAATGAATGCATAAACATATATTTTTTAACCAATCTTACTGTAATGAAATATGTTATTTTTTTACCCATATTATAGTATTTAATTTATTTATATTGTTAAACAATTGAATGATTATCACATACCAAATGTAAAATCATAAAACAAGTGATACTAATTGAATTATAAAATGTTATATATGTGAGTAGTTCGAGTATATAAAAACATATCTAGTATAAGGTACACATAACCAATTCTAACGAGAAAAGAAACATCAGCAAGAATTCAATCTGTTATGAATACAGTAACAAAGTAACAACAATTTATTATATTGCTAATTAAAGTCAACATTTCAAATCATCTTCTAGATTTAAATTATCATTTTTGCTATCTTAAAATTACAACTAATGACGCTGGCATAATAAAAACTAACTAAATGAGTTAGACAACTTACGTGGAAAGTAAACATGTTCATATTGTATATATTCAAGGAAACGATTAAATATACCACACAACTGAATTTATAGTGTGTATACTTATTCACTGTCAGTTTAAGATGAATTGTCGAACAAATTTATTTAATAAAAATGATTTATTTTTAGCTGAAAATATATGTATAGTACAAATAACAAAATTCAGTGTTGATCAGCCTTAATTAGGTTTAAACATAAAATTGTATAATAAATGCTTAATGTTACTTAATTGCCAATAGTTTTTATGAAATATGAACAATTAAAATCATTGATGTTGTATATAATATAGACTGCCATCTAAATAGGTATAATTATACATTTCAATATATATAAACATCAAACTAAGAAAAAACAAAAAATCAACTTCATTTTCAACCACTTTCAATAATGATATATCAGCACACCATTCGAAGAAACCGTACAAATTAAAAACTAACGCACCAAAATGTATGTGTCTACCCGCTGAAGGCTGAATAATAAGACCATTATCACAATTTAATATCAAAGTAGACAAAATTTAAATCGTTTGCTTTTTATTTATAAAACATTGCTAAAATCCAATTTTCAGTACACCATTACGACATATTTGTTAAAGATATACTATGCTCAAATCTGATACTGAAAAATATTTATAATTGCTACACAGCCTTTTTGTAAATATAACATAAATATGTTTTGACCTCTTTTATGTTTTAAATTATACATACTATATACTATAGGTATATACAATATGAATATATAGCGTCATAAAAAACTGGCAGGTTTTTAAGAAAAGACCAACTTTACTTGACCTGTTACAGGAAACGAAGCTTCAAATACATAGTTTATTCATTCTTTTATTCAAATTAGACATATTCTGAAAGATATTTACAGAAATCAATAAATTTCGAAGGTTAAAATATTTTACTCAAGGATGAGCATAGTATATTTGATAAATGTGACACTTTTTCAAATTAAAGAAAAAGTATATGAATTCGTATTTATTATAATGAAAAGGATAGACTTACTTTATATTTTCAATCAATTATATCGAAATATCTTACAGGAAGAAATAATTCCATTCCTTACTCATCTATATTTAACTCAGAGGACTTTTGATATATTGACACAGACAGTGTAATTCTACAGTGAAGTTAACTATCACTACCTTTGATCTGCTATGTGACTCCTCATCTATAAAGGCAAGCGATCCGTGTGAACTGTTCCCGTCAGACAACTGGCCCACTAAATGTACCGGAAGTAGTGGATTGTGGTCGCTACTGTGCTGTGGTGAATTGTGGGATATTTGTGGTTGTGATCTACCATTTCTATCTATTTGTAAATCACTCCCGTTCTTGGATGTTGGGTGGCTTTGCTGTAAGAGTTGTACTATAGTTACGTCTTCCATGCAACTACAAATTACTGTTAAAGCCTATTGCTCAACAACATATATCACTTTGGATCATTATGGACTTAAAAAACTGATACTTTTCGTGATTAATGTATAATTTATCTCGATTATACTAGAACAAAAATGCTTTTTTATTCGTGTATGTAAATACACAGTCATATTAAATCAGCTGCAAAACGTTAAATGCAAATCAAGTAGAAGTTCCTCAGTTTACTTATGACATTAAGTTATAGCATTTATCTGTTTAGACCAAATTTCTGGTAATGAATACATAAAAGTTTGAGCCACTAAGCAAAACATAGCAAGCACGACAAATTTGTACTGAATAAATGTAGAATCTTTAAATAAAAAACCAAACGGAAAATCAGAATTCATAACAACCTTAAGTTTAACAGATAGAAAAACAAAGAAGAAACAAGGCGACAAAACATGACCAACAAGAAATTTTATATGGCAGTGCCTGGAAAACTGTGCATGAGACAAAATTAGCTTTCAAAGATTAGCTGTTTCTTTCCGTGAACTTAACTATATATTTTATTGTATGATTGCATTTTATAGATTAAATATATAAACGTTCATAATAAGATCATTGTTATTTCAACTGCAATATAAATAGAACCATGATAAATGTCGGACTTGAAAAAGCGTACGACATAGAAACACCTATTGAGACATAACGTGTGTGCATGTTTGCCTGGCTCATTTGCATACATTTATTGCCACTGGTACCTGGTGTTTAACTTTAAACAAGTGCAATCTACCATCAAGTGTGTTATACCACTTCATGCTACCATCGCTACCATTTACCTGCCTGCTAGCTTTGCTTGAAGCACTGTCTCTTCTCAAATTGCCTGATCCAAAGCCAAAGGTGCTCGAACGTCTGGCTATGACCAAAGCAGCCTCTCTGTTGGCGCGATATCTCTTCATGCAGCTACTGCAAATTGAGAATTTATATGTCATTACATCTACAAATATATCAATTTCAATTTACTATTTCTTACGTCGTGTATTAAGAAGAAAAGACACCCATTAGTAATTTTTGTAAAGGAAATGTGACGAAATGTGTTGCAACTGTCAACTGACCATTCACCAGTAAAGCAGCCGTTATAAAATATTATGTTGTCCGTTAAAAGCTTAATGTTAAAGGCAAATTTGTCTAAATAATAATTATAAATATTGCATTTGTTTCAGCCAAATATAACAAATTATATTTATTATATACCAAAAGCCATATTTTCAAATTGACAAACTAAATAAAAAAATATATAAATAACACAGTAGAAAATAAATTTTACATATAATTTGATATCACGAAGAATTTAATTTGACAGTGATCATTCCCTTCAAATTTCAGAATGAGTAAGTTTATGTAATATACCGAATTGCTGAATTGCAAAGATATACTCCAAGGGAGCCTCAATAAGTTAAAATCGATTTGACAAGTCAAAGGGAATAAATGCAATAATTTTTAAAAAAACTGGATTTAAAAAAGGAGGAGATAATCAAGTAACTATATTATAATAAAAAGTACCATAATGAAGTCGCACCAAGCAATCTAAAATAATAAGAATCTATTGACTATAGTTTCATTGATTTAACATAATTATACTACTTTGATTTCTTCCCTTAACCAAAATATATTATTTGTATGATTGCATGCGACGACAATTCAATTGCTGAATTTAAAAGAGTCGTTTAACAATAATTTGTGTACCAAATATTTCATCACGATCTTATAAGAGTAAATGAATAATGTTTCCTCGTATTCACGCAACCCGTGATTTAAGCCTTTTACACAACCATTTGATGAGAAAGCCAATGGAATTACCGAGAATATCGTAAAATAGCTCTTTTACGAAGAGTAAAACAATTTAAGGCCACTAAATTCACCTTCATTACCGTAAAATGCATTATGGCCAGGAAGTTTAGTCTCCAAAAGCTCATTAGAGAGGTCTCTCATCAATAACATTGTCAGCAGAATTAAAAGTATGGAAATTTACTTACTGTATCCTCATAGCACCGGCTATAATGAAGAATGTTCCAATTACGGCGGAACATGTTGCTATGACGACTACTTGTGTACGACTTAGACCTGAAAAAAAGAGATTATGACTAAAATGATAGGAAGCCATGTTAAATAATTTTACATTATTGATGCTGTACATTTAATATAACTGGAAACAAATATCTAAGGACTAAGCAATCTTCGATTACTTATGTTCATGTAAGACTCTGTCCTGAAAAAAGATTTTGTGATTTCAACGATATTAAACCATGATAAAAAATCTCCAACCAGTGCAATTGACAATACAGCTGTGAGAACTAAAATATTTCTGATTGATTGTGTACGATTAAAACATGAAGACATTTAAAAAACTGACGTAATGAATGACAACCATATTAACAGTATTGCAATCAAGCTATAAGGACTAAGACATATTCGATTACGTGTATAAGGCTTAGGAGCTGAAAAAAAGAGACTATTACCTAAATGGTACGCAACAATGACAAATTCAGAATAACTTGCAATGAAACTCAAATGACTAACACAACTTCGATTTTTAGTGCACGAATAATCGGATTCAATATTATTCTGAAAAATAATTTGTGTTTAATATGACTTGCAACACAACTTAAGGACAAATATTGTTGATTAGTATAAACAAGGATTGCCTGAAGATATTTAGACAAAAATATCATTGTCTTAGTGGTGAAATATTTTGGTTATCGTATGCATTAAACACATCTTGGCAACCATTTTTATTGAACATTTTTTCTACTTAATTAATTAATTAATTAATTTTTGATGTTGTTTGTTCTCGTTTTATAGTAAATCTCTGGTACTAACATTTTTTATTTTAATAAACTTATGCTTGGACGGAAAATTATGCCTTAGTCAGTTCTGTTTGTTTTTGACAGGTACAATTCAGGTCTAATACAATCACATAGACTGTAAGATCATTATATGTCATTATAATAAATAACGATAATAATACTCCAAAATTATGAATATCCATGTAATAATGTACTGAATGTAGAAAGCGATATGTAAAAAAAGGGCTCATTTAGATAATATCTCGTGGCACTTAACAAACGCATTAGTGAATATAAATGACAATAAGGACATCCTGTGCGCAATATCATTACTGCCTAGACATGAATTTAGCACTGTAGTCAGACTTGTTCAAACGCCTACGGTATGATCTTTATGTCAAGATTGCGTGTGAAAACCGTTCAACTTACGAACAGAATTACGTTTCTTTGTATATAGACAAATGTATCATTAACTTGATTCAACAGAACTTACATCATTTACAAAACCTGAACAGCAACGCTGTAGACATAACATCAGACGTTTCAACAATGAGGTAGTGACAATTTGAGAAACAAGTTTATATATGATTTGCATACTTTTAGAAAAAAAAACTCTATGTCCGTTACGTAACTTTCGCCAAAGTAACACATAATAACATAAAACGTATTCTTGTTTACTATATTGTCAACTGTAGCTTGTATACACTTGTTTGATACATTTATTATATTAATTATGCGAATGTTCTACTCAAACGACATCTCTGGCACAATTTTGAATGCATAACTCAACATAATCAAATTATAAAAATTAACAAACAAAAATACTAAAAAAGACAAACAAAAATGAGATTATAAAGATAATTTGTTTACATGACTGAGACAATCTTGAAGATGAGGAAAATCATCGGCATACTATACATTTTCTTACAGTCTTTTGTATTACATGTACTTTATGTACCTATTTTGAACCAAATTATTGTTTCTTACGCGGGGTATATACCTTTCCTTTCTATTTTCCTCGTCAAGATTATAGCGACGGCAATTTCCTGTTTTTGCAGACATTCATTATTTTCTGTGCCGGTATTTTATCAATAGTTGCAGACATGTCAAATAATTCCGAAACTTTGATATACGAGTATATCTTGACATATGGGTTCAAATGATCAAATCGACAAAACTGTGCGTAACAATACAAACATGCAAACAATTTATCCCCTAAAACATTTTATTTTAGCATAAAACATCTTACAGCAACACATTACATTACACTGTATTGAATTTTACTACATTGCATATATATTACATTGCATTATATCAAATTGCATTATATTACATTGCATTATACTACATTGTCTTATATTACATTACATTATATTAAATTGCATTATATTACATTGCATTATATTACATTGCGTTATACTACATTGTATAATATTACATTACATTATATTACATTGCATTATATTACATTGCTTTATACTACATTGTATTATATTACATTACATTATATTACATTGCATTATATTACATTGCATTATACTACATTGTATAATATTACATTACATTATATTACATTGCATTAAATTACATTGCATTATATCAAATTGCATTATATTACATTGCATTATACTACATTGTCTTTTATTATATGATCTAAATATAGCTGCAATCTCATTGGTCCAAACAGTAGTCAACAGAACTTTTTATAAACTCATATTTACTGAGGTGTAAAGTATCATATTCACTGCTGAAATTGGATTTTTCCCAGTCTAAAAATAGATTGAGACTCATATTCAATGATCATCAACATCGTAGACTGTTAATTACGCGTGTTAATTAAAAGAAAATTTGCTTTTTGTTCTTTATTGGCATATTTCTCGAATAAAATCATTCAATAATTTTATTATACTTAAAAGGTTTACACCGCAATGATGAGTATAAACTTGAATTATTTTGCTAATTGCGTAGCGTTCGCGGTAGTTCGTTGCACGCCTAACACGTGCGTCTTTTTTCCCGCGCTTCAACAAGGCAAAATTTGTACATGTAAATTATAAGGTTGTACTTTTGTGATTTTTAAAATTTCTTAGCCTATCATATAATAAAAACAATTATTGACAAGTGAACCATTGAATATGATGTGATATTCACCGGCAGAAAGTCATATTGACCTCGGCTATCGCCTCGGTCAATATGTCATCTGCCGGTGAATATCACATCATATTCAATGGCTCACTAGTCAATAATTGTATAATATTACATTACATTATATTAAATTGTATTATATTACATTGAATTATACTACATTGTCTTATATTACATAACATTATATCAAATTGCATTATACTACATTGCATTATATTAAATTGCATTATATTACATTGTATTATATTACATTGCATTATATTACATTGCATTATATTACATTGTATTAGATTACATTACATTATATTACATTGCATTATATTACATTGCGTTAACTACGTTGTATTATAATTATGTCATTACATTATATTACATTGCATTATATGAATTTGCATTATAACACATAACATTGCATTAGACCGCATTACATGTCATAATTTCTAAGCAAGACAATGCGACAGCACATTTTACAAGTAATATAGTTTTTTTAATTGATTCTTAAATGAGGACATCTTTTTTTTTGGAAGCTGTATTTAGTATAATACGAAGTCATAATAAATATTGTGACAATGCAGATCCGTGAAATATTACAGAACATAGTGTTATTTTTTTTATATTTTTTTACATGTAAATACATCCAGGCTCGACATCAACTTAACTTTCTTGCTTTCAAATATTCAGCATTTTCTTTCATAAACGCGACGTTCAAGGTATGCATAAGTAAATTGCATTGACGAAAATCACAGAAAACTCATAAAAAAACTCTTCTGACTTCATCACATAAAAAAGCAAGGGACAGCAAATGTATGGTATTTAAACTCACACACAACTAAAAAGGTGACCGGAATAACTTTATCATTGTCCTTAAATTAGTAAATATTTACACATATTTTAATATTTTTGTGATATATAATTGTTAATGTAGCGTTCGTAGTTGTAAAATATTTAAATTTCAATCGATTTCTAAAATGCCTAGCATTATGGCATATCTCAATAAATTTCAATACAGAAATTAAAGTTATAAAAGATAATGCAATTGGAAATATTTTGACTATCATTGTGGCTTAAACCAATAGTTACAACATTTTAGGTTATGTCTCAAAAACGGACAAAGTTTTACTTCCTTAGAAAGGGCATGCATTAGTTGTATAACATTTAAATAACAGTATTAGAACATGTCAGGTGTTTTCCAACAAAATGTAGCACTTGATGTGAAATAATTTGTCGGAAAAGTAAGAAAATGTAAACAAATTAGTATTTTGACTTCCCTACAAATTAATTAATCACTTTAATTGTACTAATTGCCAAAATGCATCAGAAAAGAGTAGCTCAGGTATTTGGTTGATGAGTATCTATTTTAAAACTATAAAAGTACACTGAAAATAAAAGACTATTGCGAAATTAAAGTTAAAGTAATTCTTCGGCATAATGGGCCTTTCAGGACGCGTGTGTCTTTTGTTTATTGTAATATTGAATTTAGTTCATACAAGGCATGTGTCAAGTCGGTCTGAAGATATAGTAATTATATTAGAGCATAACACGTTTCAGTTATTGTCATCGCTATTCGTTGACAGTGAATCTCCAATTCGTATAAAGAAATCATACTCTCATCACAAATTTGGCCCGGAGGAGACCAAAACATTTCAATAATTGATATTCTGGATTCTTTATTTGGTAAATGAGTTTCGTGGTGCTTTCTTATAATAAAAGGTAAGGTTGTGTGTAAGGCTTTAAATAATGACGAAAAATATATGAGCCGCGTCACGACAAAACCAACATAGTGCGTTTGCGATCAGCACGGATCCAGACTAGCCTGTGCATCCGCGCAGTCTGATCATGATCCATGCTGTTTGCTATCAGTTTCTCTACTTGTAATAGGGTCGGCAAGCGAACAGCGTGGATCCTGATCAGACTGCGCGGATGCGCAGGCTGGTCTGGATCCATGCTGGTCGCAAACGCGTTTTGACGTGACGCTGTTCATTTAATGAAACTATCCTTCAGAATATATCACGTACGCTTACTTGGGACAATCTTTATTTTTTTAAGCAGATTTTTTATTTTATCCTTAATATTTTTTATCAATTATTAGTCATTCACTATTAAAATGTTGTTTTTTTAAATATATATATCAAATTA